GCCTTAGACAAAATATTAAGCTCATTTTTTTTTTTTTAACCACTGTAAACTCTTTAAAAGTTTGTTTTTTTTTGTTTTTTTTTTTTTCCTGAAGGTTAGGATAAGTCCTAATTCAAGGGACCATGTTTTAAGGAGAAAGTTGGCACTGGATTGAGGCTTACTATGTAGCATCTTCAAGCATCATGGAGAATTGAATTGAATTTGATTTTGCAGTTCTGTTACTATTAAGATTACTGAGAGGATTATTTGTATTTCTAGCAAAGCTCCAGGAAGCATATGACACATGTAGAGTGGAGTAAACTTGAGATCCCATTAATCATGTACTTAGCATCTGTATTTTTAGGACAGCACATGTGWGATTTTGGTCCACCATTTGTGATCTGTTTGAGGATTCCTGAGAATAAAAAAACTATATATAAATTTAAGATAATATTATCAGCTGAAGCTCTGCCAGCTTCCATAAACAGAAGCAGATAAACTGAGATACTGTRTACCACTTTGTGGTTTTAATATTGGAAAATAATAGATTGCAAAAATAAAAAGAACCCATCTCAAATTTTTTAGTTGCCCTGTGTCTTAGGTGCTCATTTAACATTATTTTTTCAAGAAACCTTGTTTAGATGACAAAGTGTAATGAATTAAATTTASCATTTTACAGAATATACTGCTTTCTGGGTTAAAGAACATGAGCTAAAATTGCATGATAGATATATGGTAACTATTATATATTAAAACAATAACAATATTGGAATTTTGGTGTTTAACAAACCAAGAAAAACTCTAAATGTATATCTTTATAACAAATTCCTTCAAATGCTGAAGCTATACTTGAACAAACTGTATCTGTGAGAAAAATGTCAGTAATTAAATCTTTCATTATRTCACCAAGTAAAGAATGGAGGTGGGTGTAACTTACTGGGTCAGCACGATAGCCACAGCATCATTTAGGACRCTCTCTCCAAACAGGAGTGTGTATAAATCTGTATCCACATTCAGCTCATGGAAAATAGCAAGGACTGTCACTGTATGGAAACAAAACAAAGGGAGTTGTTATTTTCATATTCCTCTGGCAGTTCAAGAAAAAAAGCAATGTTAGAATAGTGGTTTTGAGAAGCCCATTCYTATATATTGCCTAAGTGGATAAAAACAAGTTAAAAAGGATCAGCTGGAATATATAAGATCCTTAAATTCATTAAGTCTATGAGTTTTGGTGCTTCAGCTGGGTTATGAAGAAGCTTTCCGTCTCACACATAGAATCTTGCGTAAATGAAAATGTCACAGCATGTTTCACTGTGCATAAAGCACTGTGATCTTGTGCCCACAGAGGAATAAGGGTGCTGAAAAGACTTGGGTTTTGCTGTGGATTTTGTGTGCGATGAGCAGTGGCTGCCCTGTTTTAAGAAGGATATAATGGCAATTATCCATCTGCTACATGTGTTCCCTGTGGAACACACATCATTGCTACCCTGTCCTGACCCACGCTGCACTGGGATGTAGCACATCTGTGCCTCTGGAGCCTCTGACCCAGACCAGGATATCTGACATTGTAGCCCATTCGAAGGTTCCTTCCACCTCTCAGTAGTTTAAGTTCCTTCCTTCTCCCTGAGTTATATTTTATGTTTGATTTTCAGTTTACCAGTACAATAGAAAAAATAGAATATGTTGAATTTAAATTGAAGGTGAGCAAAACATTTAGATATACATTCTCAGGAGCATTTAAACATTTGGTTTATGTTCAGGTAATTAAGACCAGTTAACTAGGTCTTAGCTGTTTTGTGCCTCAGTTTCTTTCACTGCAGACAGCGGATCAATGTCCTCCCTAGGGTCTGTCTTGCACTTATTGATCTCCAGCTAAAGCAGGCTGTCTATGTTCTGTGTACGTGTTGTTCTTATTATTTTCTCTTTTTCAGGGACAAAGCAGAGCTTTTTCTTTTCAAACAGAATTTAATGCAAAGACCCCCAATTACTTGTCTSGTTAAAAATTACATGCTAACTCACTGCTTTACTCATGCTCATTCTGGTACATAATTGTGCAATTGACTCAGTCCTCATMGCCCAGGAATCCCAAAGATTAGGARGGAGTGAGTGCCTCTGGGATGCCATGTTCACATCTGACATTTTAGAAATGGAAATGATATTACAGTGATATGACTGCTGGTAATTCACACAAGCGCTTGACCGGCTGATTATGCTTTGTCTTAATAACATTTCTTGGAACTTTGAAAGCATTACTGCTAAGATTTTCTAAATASCGCTTAAATATCTATGTACTCTCAAAATGAGTTTATAAAGCCAAAATAGATTCTGAGTCCTCCTGTGATATATATGTCAAAGTGATCTCTGTTGATGTGTTATCTCTGCAGAATTTTGGAAGTGTTATTCCACAGAAGACAATTTAGGAGATGTGTGTAGCTGAACATTTGCTGATATGGCTATATTTAAATTAGATTGTTATATTTAACCACCCTGGTAACCTCACCCATCTACTCCCACTGCAGTTATAATTTAAACTAGGAAAAGAGTTCTTTGCCCAGAATAGCTCAAAGGTGTAGGCAGAAGCTTTATTGACAAAAGATATTTTCTTGGTTCACCAACATCTATATTCGGGTTTTTGCCTGATTAGCAATGCTGACTTAATGTGCTAAATGTGGACTCAGTTTCGTCTCCTGCCCTCTAATATCATTGGCATAAAAACAGTCTTGTTTTCTAAAACTATTTGCCACTTTCAGCTTTTGCTTATTAGCTAATTAGTTTGTGCTCTCATTAATAGTCCCTGTGATAATGATGGAAGGCAAAGAAAACCATAATCAAAGTCCAGTGTACTGCTGGGTGTGTGTGCAGCAGGCCAAGCCAATTAGGCAGATGCCTACACATTCTTCCTCTTGCCTCCTAAGTAAACAACTTTCTCCTCTTGCTGTCTCTACCAGCTCTACTCCCAAAAATATGACTTAGAATCTTTTCAAATGAAGGCAAAATATAAAGCAACACAGTAATGCATCAATTGCCTCTTCTGGGAGAAACTCCCCAGTTCACCCAGTTCACAGAAATGTCTTCCATTTCAAATGTTTTCCCATTTCCAGAGGAGGTTATTGGATCTTCTTTACCTGTCCCTGTCTGAAGGGTTCTGGTCTCTGCTCTGTCCCTCTGCTTCTCTGGCTCAAGAAAGAGCAAACTTGAGCCCTACCACTGCTGACAAGTATTTATCAGTTTAGTTTCTAAAGAACTGAAATGATGCTGATACCACAAATCCCAAGGGAGACTAACTCACTTTTCAGTATTCATACAATTTATAAATGCAGTTATTCCTGAATCATGCCTAACCCAACTCTCCTCTCCTGCTCTTCAAGTCTGTAATTTCCATTCCTAGCCTAATGAGAGATGAATAATTTGTCATATTTATTCCGATTTTCTTTCCAGCAGCATTTTGTCTATTCAAAGCCTCATTTCAGACATCTCCTCCCTAAAATGACTCACTTCTTTCAGTCTCATCCTTTTAGTAATGTTTTCTTGCCCTCTAATCAGCTCATATCTTTCCTGAAATACAGTGCCAAAAACCAGATCCCAGCAATGTAGTTGATGCTGTCAAAAAATAGAATGAAAAGATGCTGTAGAACATGTTAATAAATCCTGTTTTCCTTTTTTTTGGCTATGTATTGGTACTTATGACTCATTTTCATAGGTTGTAAACTTGAAATCCTTTTCAGAAGTGAATGCTCATTTCTTATCTGCTATCTATGAAGATGCTTTTTTTTCAGTGTAGCATTTATCCTTGTTTATTTTAAATCATTACAGGAATCATATTGAGTTCTAATAGTGTATTTCAAAGTGTTGCAAATCTCCTCTCAGCATAATAGTGTAGAATAAAGAAACACCCTCTGTTGTGCTAGCCAGCTCATTAATGAAAATTATAAACAGTTTCTGCCTAAGAACAGAGAACTGCAGGATCTTTAGCACATCCACCCTGTTAAGAGCTCAGGAAAAAAAATTCACTTTGTTTTGGCTACCACTGTCTTGTCATTTCCCTGTGATGACAAAGGTTTGCCTTCATTAATTATGAGAATCTATGGGCATAGATTGGAATGGACACATTAAAAGGGATGTGATAGTTTGCCATGGAAGAAAACTAATTTAAGTTACCTCTGGATAGAATAATGCTCTAGGAATAGTCATCATGTCTAATGAAGTCACATCAGGTTTTGTCTAATGGATGACTTTAAAACTCAAGGCAAGTAATTTTAAAATAATCCTATACCACAGTAACATATCTAGYCTTTGTGAACTTTGATATCTGAGTAAAGATCATAGATGCTGCACTGCAGTCAGCTTGGACTCTGGATTTCTGAAGCACTGCTGAGGAACAGTAGGTAGGGCTTGGTATTTTTTTTGTGTGGTAACTACTCAAAGACTTGTATAATTCAATAGATGCAATATGTATTACAAAAATACCAAACTACTTTTCATTGAAGTACACAGCATCTCTTATTTCAATGTAAGGACATAAGGACAGAAACAGGATAAAGAACTGGCTGCAAGGACAGGTTATTGGGGGAGCACAGACACCTTTTGTAGCAGTAGAAAACTGACACAAATAGCAATAACAAGTAYCAGAACCGCTGACTCAGAAAGGGTTGTGAACTTCAGCTGAAAATTCAGGGATGGGAAGCAGGAAAAGGTGAGGCATCTAAGATTTTCACAGTATTTATACCAATAGAAGTCTGAATCACTTCTTCCTTGACTTCATGGACTGAGGTAACATCTGTCACATGCTAAGCCCAATATGATTTTAGTTGTACCCAAGTCATAAGAAGTGTCTRTGGAGCCGGTTTGTGAAATATATCTTTTGACATATGGAAAAACAAATTGGCTTGTTATAGATCCCTGTGAAAAGTTTATGTAACTGCGATATCATCGAACTACAACATTCCCTATGCAAACTGTATCCAATGCTACTTTGCCGTTACTTTTCAAAGAAAAAAGAAACTCAGAAAATAAATTACACCATTATATAAAGTACTTACTGTAACTTAATCTTCTGACTAGAACTATTAATATCTTTCATAGCTCATGGGCCTAAATTCTTTTAGGAGGGCAATATTGAATGAGAAGAATATAAGATTAGAGAAATTAACCTTGTATTTCCTATTGACTTTGTCTAAAAATAAAGATTCCAATTTGAATTATAGACTCATTTCCCTATTAATAAGTCAGAGCACTCAGAGATTAGTTCTGTAGTGAATAAGAAGAAAGCAGACATATATTTTAATTAAAAACATTTATAAACAGTCTTACATAATCAGTGTTTGATATGCATGACCTTGTTGTACTTATACATTATGCTTCTTAATGCAAAATCCTTTGATTTTATGAGAAACAGAAACTGCTCTTTCTGATAAATATCCAATTTTATCAATAACAAGAGCAGTGCAACCCACAGCTCCAGTTCAGCTGTAACCATAGTAACTTCAAATAGGGAAGAGCCTTGTGATTGGCAATGTGACCAAAGGTAAGGCAGTTCATATGGCTTAGAAATAGCTGTGCTTCAGCAAAACCTCAGAATGTAAATCTCTTTTCTATACTTGAAATGACAAAAATTAAAAAGAAAAGAAGAAAAAAAAAAAAAAAAAAAAAGGAAAAGGTCCCTGCCCAGAACGTGTTAACAGCAGCAGCTGTGGAGACTGCCAGAGTTGTCCTGTTCACTTATTTTGGTGGCTGAGGCAGAGGTCTGATCTTTGCATCCCTGTGCCAGGTCTGTCCTGTTCATGATTCCGTTCCAGCCAGGGGCACCCTGAATCCCCTGAATCCCTGAATCCCCTGAATCCGGGCTCGTTGCTGAGGCTGCTGTCAGTCACAGAGGACAGCAGTGCCACAATTCCCTATCCATGGGTTCCCTTTGCAGGTCTCTGATGGGCAGGACTGAGAGCTGAGGGTTCCACCCCAGCACCTTTTCCACTCTCACTTTGCTGCTCCTGACGAGTGACACGTGCATGAGAACACAGGAACAAACTGCTCTGGCACCCGAGAAGGGATCACACCAAAACACTCCCAGAGCCAGGGTACATTAGAAATCAAACCCTAGTACTAACACAAGGAAACCCTTTCAACAGTGAAATCTGKAGATGAAATAACAAGAAGATGTGATTTCCTTGACAATGTGATAAATTATGCCTATTGATCAGAATAAAGAAAAAGATAAATACTGGTCTCATGTTTTAAATCAAAGGATAGCAAAGGGATAATTTGGGAATTTTAAACTTTCATTTCTTAAAATTTAACCTCTCACCTGAAGCCTTAAAATGGAAAACTTTCTCTACTGAAAATGAAAAATTACTGGAAGGAGACATTCTCTATAAGATGAATTATTTGGTTGAGGGTAACCTTGTTTTGTCCCTGAATTCCTAACTTTCCTTTCTAGAGACAAGAAAGTTTTTTGAGGCATCACAAAATATCGTTAATATTTAAGGATCACAGTCTATAATGCAAAACACAGTCCCAAATACATCCAGTCATAAATTAATTTCCTAATCTTGGCTCAAGTGCTACTTTTCTATGTAAGGGAAACATATAGCATATAAGAGAAATCYTTCTGAACTATCTTTATGAAAAAATATCTAGATTAAAAATCTTCAGATAACCTTCAGAACTAAAGCCTACAGAGCACTGTGACATTATTTCCTTCTTCTTAACAGTATCAGAAAATTTTAGCTGGCATACATTTGTTTACTGCCCTGACAGTAAAAGTCATTAACATGTAAACATCTATCAGTCATCTTCACTGTTCCAAATAAGGAACTCAATCAAACCAACTTCTGTCAAGTCAACAGAACACTTTTTAGCATTTTTGGAGACTTAATTGCTTTCCACAGGCATGGGAAATCAAATCTCTTTTTGAAATGAGTTTATAATCCTACACAGTGAAGAATTAAATGAAAAATCATGTAGCAAATCTGACAGGAATTTATTATTTCATTTTAAAGACTAATTTATTGTTCATAACGCTAACAATATTTTGCTAAAGATTTCTTTAAAAATCCCAACATGAACCCTAGATATYGCATATAAAATCTTTATGCTGATTATTTTATGCCCTAATGTGCATCAGTCCTCTAGGGCACCATATTTTAAATGATTTTGGAATGCCAGTGAGCTCTTTACATACTTGAGATCATAATTTACTAGCGAATCCCACAACACAATGAAATATTTTCAGCAGTGTCAACCATTTAATTAATGAAAAACATAATTCAAAATTCTTTTAAGTCTTTGAGGGGTTGAAATTTATGAATAAGATTAATGAACACATGAAACAGGTTAGAATACTGTGAATTGATAGCAGAGGGAGGAAGACTGAGCATTAAAAAACTCTTGGATGTGCACAAACMCTATATAAGCAGAGGAATAATTACAAACAATATTAATCAATGACCGTTTGTCACACTAAAAATAGTTTTTTCAACTGCAGCTTTAGCATTTTAAGCCTGTTTAAAACTCTGGGAAAAGTAATTCTTGACACTTATTCCTTACAGTGCAAGAGGAACTTCTGTTTTGGTTTTTTTTTTTCCTCTTGATTGCTCCAGATTAATCAGTAGTGATTTAATATCCTTATAATCAAAATCAGTGCTTTTGTCTTATACATTACTCGTTAAAAGTCAGATTTGTGACAATGTTTTCACATTTGTGAAACTAAATAGTCTTGGACTGGAAAATGGGAAAAGAAATTAGGCCAGCTGCAAAACCCTATTCATAGCACTATCAAGAAACACTTGGAAATTGTAAGGATGCTTTTATTCCATAATCAGTTTATTTTCTTAGGTTTTCCTTGTGCTTCCAACTTCTGTGTTTTTCTCTTGTTCTGAGGATAGGCTCCAATCGTGCTGAATCTTATTAATGTAGCTGAGTGAGCTCAGAAGTGGCAGCATATTGGATGCTTGGATTAATTTGAGAATAACATTTTGATGCAAGTTTTACAGTAATCTTCCAACAACTGGTTTTGTGGAAATAAATTGTTTTATACTGTATTTTWAAGCCATCAGAATGATAAATCACAAGCCAAAATCTTTTGTTAAATATTGAGAGTTCATTTAAAGACTGGAAAAAAATTGTAGGACAGTATTACCTTTTCTAATTTCCTTTAAAAGCCAGGAATTTGAAAGCTTTATTTCYAAGTTTCTCAGAGAAGCTTCTTAACAGTATTTTTTTACTATTAATGCAGCATTTCACGTACATCACAAAACGTTTTCTGTTCCATTTCCTTTAACAGCTCAGCTGAAAATTTTGCAAAAATCCAATGTACCCTTGTTGAATTTGCATTTTGTCTTAGTAGGTAACATATAAAACAATCTGTTCACATTCTCCTTTACTGTGTTCCCACAGTTGCAAAATGCAATATTTTCCTTTTAATATTTGAATGCTCTTATTAACATTTTCAGCATMATGAACTCTGGACAAATGTATGAAACCTAGGCTAACTTTGAGATTAGTCTGTTTTAATTAGAAGGTTGGACTAGAAGACCTCCAGACATCCCKCTAAATCTAAATGATTCTATAAATMTTTGATTCCAAAATTCACTGAATCTGCTTTCCAGACTTTGCCATTTACTGTAACTTTAGGWTTTAAATCTCACATCTGCAAATTCAAGACAATTTGTTGGTATCTGTTTTTTTTTAGAGTCTTATTTATCATGCGTTCAATTGTAACTGATACCTTATAAACAGCATTTTTATTGCCAAATCTGCAAGCTCCATTCCCCATCTTTAAACTGGGYTAGACCACACGTGGCTGTGAGGTTGTGATTTTCACCTGAGGGGCTCCAGCTCACAGCAGTTCCCATATCAGCAGCAACAGGTGGTGTCCTGAAGATAGAGAACARCATTTTCCCAATGTGTTCAGCAAACTCAATTACAAAGTTTGTGAGCTAACCGTAGGAAAACCAATTACTAAAAAAAGCCCAAGGGACCTCTGGAGCTGATTTGACTTATGATTATCAGAATATCAGATATTTAACAGCTAAGGAATAAAAAAAAAAAAATCCAGAACAGAGACTATAACATTTCAATGGCATATCCAGTGGCTATTTACTCTTCTGACTTTGGAAAAAGTAATTTATTTGAAATGGTTACCTGGATCTGTGGCAGACATCAGGGATCCAAAGAATAAACAGTCAGTGAAGTGGAATTCCCATTGCTTTAATTGGCCAATGTGTACCATGGCCTTCACAAAGCCATACATTATCAACCTGTCAGGACAAAGATAAGGACAGAGGATTCAGACACAGTAYTCAACAATTATGTTTAATTTACAGTATTAAGCAGGTTCTTACTCTCTTTAGCTTTGTTTCAATAATGTGTCACATGAATACTGAACATAAACTAGGATCATGTAAAAATTCTATTTCCTGTTCAGCTACCAAATATTGTATTAAAATGTCAGAGACAATTTCAAATCAAAAGTTTTCTGAATAATTGTCATCTGCTGGCAGCAAAGAACAATGGTTTGGGCTGTTTATTTTTCAAAAGAAAAGATAAGGTATGCTTAAGAAGTCATTATTAAGACTAATTTGTCTAATGTAGAATGTTTAAACAAAGGCAGTTCTGCTGTCAGCTCTGTATTTCTAAATGAACTGGTTTATTCTATCAGCTTTTAAATGTTAGCAGCACTCAAAGTTCCACATAAGGTCTCTAAATGGCCATATTTAACAACTCACAGTGACAGTGAGGCAACGAAGTCACACTTCAAAATGCRCTGCTACAGCTTCACCAGTTTCACAGGATATGTTATCACTGTTTTATATAAATAACTAGGCAGTGCTCTCTGAGGTGTGCATTCCAACAAGAATATTGAAATAATATGAAAATAAATTCACTTGTTAGAACCTGTTGCAGATTTTTACAATTTTGGACGTTTTCAGTCCAGTTAATAATAAACCCCATTGCATTCAATAGCTGTTCCATAAACACATAAATCAACAACAGTGCTCTTGKAACTACAGACTCGGAAGCAATCCTTTAAACAAGTTCCATGCGTGCACATCCTGAGCCAGTTTTGCCCTCAGCTGTCCTCCTAAGGTTCTCCCAGAGTCACATAAGCACAGAAGATCTGAGGGRCAGATAAGTTCAATTAACAAACAGCCTGAGAGTTAATTACAAATCGCTTTCAGATACTTCACCAAGCTCACTGTATTGCACAAGGAGGGAAGCAGATAGGTCACCAYAGCCCTCCCCAGTGGCCCTGAGTGCTTGTGTACATATTTACAAAAGCTCTCYAGCAAACATTCACCAGCAATTGCCCTAAAACTGTATCCAGCCGTGGGTCTCCTTGATTGATGAGCTCACTTTCTCTCCCTTCCCAAAAATAACGACTCAGGATCCTGCAGTGACCTTAGTCTTTTTATCCCCAGCAAGATTTGTCAGCTTTAAGGAATGAGTCCTTCAMAAACTGACTGTGGTGCTGCTCCCTCAGTTTTCAGTTGTCTCAAAAACYRCCGTAATTGAAGTGAGCACAACCAYGTATTTTAGAAATAATTGCCCAAAGCTGCTTGCAGGTTTGAGCAAGATACTCACTGCCCCATTCCAAAAATATTTTAATTTAGTAAATAAAATCAGGTTCTAACTATTTGGCAATTTTAATATTGATAATTCTACAAATTAAAGAGTTGGATCCCAGCTGGATACCTGAGCTTCCAAGGATAGTGATATTGCTCATCATCCAGTAGTGCCCAACACAGCTGTTCTTAATGGAAATCCAGAGGAAAGCATACTCCAAAGACAGCAGGATATTAATCCCAAGGAAATGYTCTGCACTGATGCCCCTACTACTATTATAAAGTAGAATTGGAAAAAAAAAAAAGATTTTTAGGGCTGCTGTCTTTTCATTTGATACATTTAGTATATTTTTAGGAAGTTTACACCAAATTTCAGTCAATCTGATTGCTCTATTAATCTTCAACAATCCATTTAATAGATGTTAATTTTTTTTTAAATGTCTTTTGGTAAGTTGTAAATAAATGAAAACATCATTGACTGTGAACTTCCTGCAGAATGTTCCTGTCCCACAGGAACATGCTTCTAGCCCAGTGCTTTCGTGTGCTAAGAACATGCCCAGTTCCTACARGCTCCTCCACCTTGCTCATAATAAGCCATTATTCATGAATTAGGCAGTTGGAACAGGCACGAATGTGAAATGTGATGTGTTACTGGGTGACGTGGCTCCTATCCTGGTTGGTGGAAGTCTGACCTCAAGCCTGTGCTTTGCAATCTAATTCTTGTCCCTCTAGATTTGTGTAAATATTTGTGARTAACTCATTTGTCATAGATTTGGAATATTAATAAAGTAATAAAACAGAAGGGTAGAAGTCAGATTAGCTTTGCAACAGGAGACCTGACATTCTCTACATCCAAATATTTCTTTTTTAAGTCTGGGGAAGAGCCTATCAAGATAGAGCAAATATTTTACCACTTCAGCAAGAAAAGAGAAAAACAATAATGTAATGAAACACATGAGAATTCAGAATTTTCCAGATTATGCAAGTCTGGCACTTACAAAGTGCCTCATCTCTAAAAAATGTTACATAGAATGCTGTCATTACACAGTAGAGGAGACACCATATAAATATTTGACTTGCTGAAGTAAGAATCTTCTGGGAAACTGAACTTTAACTAGCATAATTTCCAGTATGAACCAGCAAGTAAACTATACAAACCACACAAAATCTCAGCACAACAGCACAAAAAACCGCTTTAAACTGACAAAACTGACAAAAATGAAAGTAAATAACAGGCACTGAAGAACCAGAACAAAAACTTTTCAAGGCTTTAATTATTCTGAGCTTTAGGATGTCCTTATATTTTTGAAGCTGGACTGAATTTTGAACTTGTTGGTGTTAAAAACTGTGGGGGAAGAATGTCCATTTGTGCAAGACCCAGTTTTTTTACTACCCAGTTCTGCTATGCACTGAGGAAAGGAGTTTGGAAAGCACATTGGCTGTCTGTGTTCTGCTGGAAGGTTCCAGTGMGTTTGTTTATAAAGCTGCTCTCTAGGAAGGCTACACTGTGGCTGGGACATTCTTGAACTGGCTGCTGTTTACATGTAGAGGGAAAAAAAGAGAGCCGTCTCCTAMGGTCTTTACAGAGTAATTACTACACACAAAACTTTCTAAATGCTCAGGAAGAGCTTTAGATGCAGCTCAGCAGAAGCTTTATTTTTTTTGCAAGAGTTTCCTTTAGCAGCATCTGGTTTTAAGTGATCTGAAAAGAGACAGMAAAATTGCTTTGGGGGGTTTTGAGAAGCTCTTGTCAGAAAGCTCTAAATAGCAAAACCTCTATCCAGCATATTGCTAGTAGAAGAAAGATAATTTGAAGTTTTAGAGCAGAGGGAAGTGGGGTATGTCTGATGCAGAATGGRGAGGCTGCAGGAAATATGCCAAAGACAGAGGGATTGTAGATAATCACAAATGGGATCAGAGCTCCTGGGAAGGAAAAAGACACCAGAGTGATCCAGACAGAAAGCCTGAAAGCCTGGCGAGAGTTTTGGTCATCTGGGTGTCTAGAAAGACCATCTAAGTAACGTGTAGCAAGCAGCACACCCGACATGTAATCATACAGCCAAAGGCTGTACTGTTCAYAAAGGCAGGGGTAAAAACCAGCCCKGGAGCAGCACTTCTGGGAATGTGAGACAGCAGGGCTGTCCAAAAGAACTGCAGAGAGGAGCTCTATGTGCAGAACAGTGCACAAAGGGGACAAGGTGACAGTGTATACGGTGCTTTAGATATATGTGAGCTGAGACAGATGCAAATAAAAAAATATTTCAAATCTTTCGTTGTAAAAATATGTCTCAATGGTGTAATCAGATAAATCTGTGCTGATCTTTGCCTACTAAAAATCCCAGCCACATCTTCAGCTTGCAGGACCTGGCATCACAGCACCTATCAATTTGCAATAGAGCAAGCTGGAAAAATTATGGCAATAAACAACATTGTGGCAGGTTGGTTTATAGGATACTGCTTCTTTGAACAGTAACTGCAACTTCTCATGCAAACTAAAATAGGAAAGTTCCAAAAGAATCTTCTCTTAATTTAAAGCTGTAGGGGATATAAATAGAGTGTAACATAACCTGCTAAGAGAAGATATACAGCAYGTGCACATGCCCTGTATCCTCAATACAGACAGCCCCATCTGCCTGATGATTTTATCAGCAGTTGTATTTCCTTCAGCGTTGTTATTCATTTCATTATCACTGCTGAATCTCACTGTGGCTTTTTATTGTGTTAAAGGTTTTAAAAGCATAATTCCAGATTTAAAGTGTTTGTGCAGTTATGCTATGGAGCGTGGAAGAGACTTGTAATTTAAATCTTTCTTGCCAAAAATRTTTTCTAGTCTGCAGAGAATTCTTTTATCTCATAGTCTAATTCCCTAAAGAATCTTATCCTATCTAGATATGATTATCTTGTAGCTTGAAGCCAGTTGAACAGGGCTACATATTGTAATAATGCAAGTAAAAGATGAAAAAAATATTTCTTTTTTAATATTTCTTCTTTTTCCACAATGAATAGTGCAATAACTTAGCCAACAATAGGAAAAGTAGACAATTTTACTCTTGTTTGTATATGAAGCAACATAGTGATTGACTGATACCATAATAGAAATAAAGAAGTCACTTATCAGAATTTAAAATACAGGCTGAAAAACACAAATAGTAGAGATGAAAATTAAAAACTCATTCCTTTATTTTGATCTYTCTATTTCTACCCTACCAATGTGTTTTTATAACTTCTTCCATAAAACAGAATTCTTCTCATCAAATGCTTTGGCTACAGTGATCTGTTATTTCAAATTGCTCTATGTACTACAACTTCCTTCTTTTAGTCATCTTTTAAATCAGTTTTGTCACTAGAAAGGGTACTACCATGGGCTTTTCTCAAAAAGAATAATTTTCTCACTAATCAAAGCAGGGGAAATCCTCACTAAAGTGTGTCAGGTAACAGTAAGGTAGCATTACCTAAAGTTATTCCMTATAAATCACACAAGAAGAAAACCCCTCTGGCTGTAGAAATAACAGAGATCAGAAAAGAACCCRACKTTRCAAATGCACTGMATCCCCAGTTACCTGGGGCACAGCRCCTGTCCAACAGCTGAGCATCAGAACTACACAGCTTTAGCATTTCCAAGCTTTAGCATCAGCAGATCTGACAGACAGCTCCAGTGACACCACTGTGCTCCCGGGAGGGGCAAAGGGCCTTGG